GGCCGCTGCTTTGCTTCACTCAGCCCGTGAATGGGTTTTTTCCCTTCCGAAGGCACAACCGAGAGTAAATTTGGGGAAAAAGCAGGAACGTGGAAGTTAAAAGCGGAACGGCGATGGCTTGACCCCACTTAGCCCGTTAGCGGGGCAGCTGAGGGCAGAGGGACCAACCTCCACTGCGGCTGCAGTGAGCCCTCGGCGTAGGATGCAGGGATGGGCGACTCGGGCTGGGCTGCAGCTGCTGTAACACAAGTTATTGCTGCTCCCAGGGACTTTGCTCTGTAACGCCCAGCGCCTAAGGACACATTGAAGTGGTACTAAGGGACGTGGTTCAGCTCCAGAGTTGGCAGAGTTAGGTTATAGTCAAACTCGATGATTGTAAAGGTCTTTTCCAACCAAACGATGATTCTATGAGCTGCTGCCCTGCAGCACTATGCCTTGCAACAGGTACTCCACAAATGTCTGCTTACTTGCCTTGGTGTCTTTGCGATTGACCCGTCTTCCCCACAGCCTCCAGCCAGGCCAAGGAGGGTTTTTCAGTGCGTGAAAAATAGCAGTGGTGACAATATCCTACAGATTCTTCTCCTGTAAGAGGAGGAAAGCAAATACCACATTTCCTGCGCATTATCTGTGCACAACACGCAGCAGATCAGCAGCTCCAAGATGCAACAGTGCTGCCGTTTCTGAATGTGCCATTTGCAGAGATCAGTTCTCCTTGGCTGTGTTGTGTTATTGGCATTGGAGCACAGAATAAAAGTCCAGCTTTGGTTTAATGCTCTTGGAAGTCCTTGTTTTTCACTGAAGCACTGTTTGTTTGTTTTGAAACAGGTGGAATGGCATCCCTCTCTTTTAGATGTACCTGCTCAGACTAAGTTTGTTTACACGGTGACTGACCTTAATGGAGGACCTCAGCCTCACTCACCCTACGAGGAGCAGTACAAAAAGATTATATTCAAGGTGAGGCTGTCTTTCACAGTGCTTTTTTGTTGCCTCTGTAGACTTGTTTATTCCCATATCTCACTAGAGACCCTTCCTTTTCTTTGCACTTAGGGTGGTGTGATTGCAGGACAGCTGACGACAGTAGGGATGCAGCAGACCTTTGCCCTGGGGAAAAGGCTGAGGAGAAGCTACATGGAAGAAGCCAACTTTCTCTCACCCACATTTAAGCCTGATGAGGTTTTGTGAGTATCTCAGTTCCTTCCTGGACCTTCCCTTGCTTCCTCCCTCCTACAGAGTAAGCCCTGTGCTAGGGACATGCCCTTTTCCATTCTATAGCAGACTGGCTGTCCCCAGGCCTTCATCTTTGCTCAGCCTGCAGAGCCCAGTACAAGAACTCACTCGTGACACAAAGCATCCAAATCCCCAGCCGTCCCAAGTCTGATGCCAGGGACAGACTCGTCTCACCTAGGTTTAACCACTGACAGTGGTATTATGCACCTTTTTGGTGAGTGAAGAGAAACGAGTATTTCTGGAGCACAATTTAACTCAGTGTAGATTAAATAGCTAAAGTTCAGTGAGATGAAGCGCACCCCTGCTGCTATTACCAGTAATGCTCGGAGTGTCTGGTTTAGGATGAGAGAAGAATTACACCAGAGAAGTGCCAGCTGTCTCTGAAGGGAAGTTAAAGGGCAGTTCAGATTTAGGTGTCTATTTAAGATGTCTGTAGGTATCTATAGAGAGGCGAGATGAATCCCACCATAGATTTCCAAAGCCACGCTGAAAGCAGAACCCTCAGTTCCAGCAAGTCCTCCCCACCTGTAGCTGTGTCCATGTGAAGAAGAAATTGCTACTTCACACACTGCTTTCTCTCTTTCAGCATCCGTTCCACTAATATTTTCCGGAATCTGGAGTCCACACGGTGCCTGCTAGCTGGGCTGTACCAACAGCAGAAAGAAGGTCGGAGAGACTTCTGATCAGTGCCTTTCCCTTCTCAGTCTTCCCTAGATGCACACTCCTCGCACATCCCAACTCTGTCTGGCTCCAGGTCATTAATAGTTCTCCCGTTCTTTGCACCTGGCCCTCTTCCCCACACTCTCCTGGTTCTTTATGTTCTTTATCAACTTGCTCCCTTTCTTTGTGTAGCTTTCTGCTGATGCTTCAGGTTGGATCTGTTGCCATGAATGCTGAAATTTCAGACCTACTGAGGAGGTTAGCATTAATCCACTTCAGAATCAAGAGGGCAAAAGTTACAGGTCCAATGTTCATCTGAAAAAAGTTTCTCAGAGAAACCCAAGTATCTCAGCCATAGGAGTACCAAGATCCTTTACAAGTGCGGTATCTGGAGTAACTTTTAACTGTACCCTATGGTTGACAACTACTTGCATGTCCCAGAAATACACTCTAGGTTTTGAAGATCTTGCCTCTTCTCCCTCAGATCCAGGAACAAATAGCAGAAGTGACTTGCCAGAACTCCTTACACCTCATGACACAAACTAATTTTGTCTCATACAAACACTAGAAAACACACACAACACACAACTAGCAAGCTTTACAAGGTGCACAGCAGACATCCCTGTGGAATTAAATGCTCCATGCTCAGAAACAAGGACAGAGGCTTGTGTTGCAGGTGATAGCTCAGGGGGAATTGCTAGTTGACAGCAGTGGACTTGAGCACAAAGACTGCAGGAGTGATTAAAGCAGTCTAAAGACACAGGTGCACTAGTGATCACAGAAACTTCCTTCTTCTTCCACAGGACCGGTTGTCATTGTCACTGATGAAGTAAGCTCTGAAATCCTCTACCCCAATTACCACAACTGCCAGCGCCTGAAATGCTTGAGCAGGTAATTGCCAGCCATACCTCCCCATACGACTTCACTGCTGTTTCATTTCTGCAGTAGTAATTTAAAACTACACGTTTTCTTCCCATTTCCCAATTTCTTCATCTGCCACTTACTGTTCTATGGGAATGGTTAGCTAGTTGTACAAAATGCTCAGTAAGCAGAGTCATATACCAAGCAGTGGCACCAGAAGAAAATATAGAGACTTTTTCTTGAAAGACCAATTTAATTTAGTCTGTGTCTAGCAAATACTCATTACTAGCTAATGTACAGCTATTCTGCGGCATTGCTGCAGGGCAGAATTAATGTAATTTACATCCCTTAACACGCCTTTCAAGTGTGAACATATTGGGCCTCCTTTTTATATTCAACTTCTGGTTTGGGGGTTATTACAACATTCCTGTCACATTTATACCTCGAAGAAACTGAAATATACTCGGCCTTGACACATTTAACAAAGACTAATGAAATAAAATAAGGAACATCTTACACAGAAAGAACATTCATGTTGGCAGAGTCAAGCAAATGCCTGTGCCAGGTTGGGCATGGGGTAGAAACTGAAGAAGAGAAGCAAACGTATTACAGTTTGGATGGATTATACATTAGCATATTTTTGTCCAGAATTCAAGGGTTGTCAAAATTCACTTGCAAAAGCTCACTATATAATGCTTGACTCTGCAGGCAAAGGGTTGTTCTTGACAGTGGTGAGACGATGGCCCATAGAAGCAGAGCATTCCGCCTCACTAACAGTAACATCAACTGCCCAAAAAGGGAGTAGACTGCAAGGTCCTCTTCTCCCTCTCCCCAGCCCACCAATTGAGCACATTTTGTGACCATGTCAAGGTGGATCTTTTTAAGCTGCAGGAGGAAGCACTGCCTCAGCTTACAGGCTACCTATACCAGGACTTAGAGCACACTCAATTTCAAACAGAAACTAGGCCAGTTCCTAAAAAAATAAAAAGCAAACTTTAAAAGCCTTTTCCACCTCCTTCCCAGCAGATCAGGGTCAGAGAAAATAAAACATATGCAATGTATTTTGCTGGAAGTACATAGCCAGCATGGATATTCTCAGCTAAACTTTTTAAAATAAAATTAAAACAGTGTAAAGAGGCGAATGGCTTCTAATATAGCGAGAGGCAAATTTAAGCTACAAGTGAGTATCTAGGTGTTTCCCTTTTCCCACACCCTACAGCAATCAGTTCAAAGCTTCTACCCTTTCTCCTTTCATGAGGGAGTTAAAGGCTGCTCCCTGAAGACACAGACTTGTACTGTTCCAGTATGACCAGATCTGTTAACTGATACACAGCCCTTGCTTATGGGAACCACTTCTGAGGTGTTCACATCTCAATTTTTCCCCCACCTCTGTGAAAGGAGATAGCCAGCTCTGACCCTTGACATCTAGATACAGTGTCTGTCCACTCTGCAACTTAGACTCCAAACATCAGGAATCCCTCAGTATCCTGTAGTGCTTCTCTTCTACCCCTCACTGTTGTCAGAACTCCACTGGGCTGGTATCACCAAAAAAAACACAAAAGAGAAAGTCTGATATGTGAAGTTTCTGTTTTGTTTTCTTAATTCCCTGACAGGTATAAGTTGAAGAATGCTCTGCAACAGCCAGGTATCTCTGATGATTTGAAAACAATTAAGAAGAAGATGGGTATTGATGATGATAAGTCTGTGGATTTTTTTCATCTCCTTGATAACATTTTTGCTGAGCAGGTGAGCTGAGCGGTTCTGTTGCACTGTTGCAGAAAGAAACATCTCTTTACCATGCATATGGAGGGAACCACAGAATGCCAACACCCAGTGATATCAGTGGGTACCCCAGTACCTTTCTGTGCAATCCAGGAAAGTTTCTAAAAATAGCATGGCCTTTTTAAAAAGCAAGATGTGGAGTCAGCTTTGCTCTAGGATGGATGAAGACTCATCTCCAGCGTTTGTGCTCTTACCTTGAAATCCAGTATCTCATTCAAGTGTCATGAAGTAGAGCTAAGAGAGCAGTTTGGCCTCGCTTACTCTGTTACAAAGTGCTTGCTATTTTCTGGCAGTCAGCACCTAATAGATTCATCTTAATCCTGGTTCCTTCAGCCAGATTGCTTCTGCTACTGGAAGGGGGCTGAGCATATTTGTACCCCATTTAGTACCTTTTTTTTTTTGCTGGAGCTAATGGTAATTGGGCTGGCTGGCAGTTGAATAGCTCAAGGCATTACACTCCCTTCACGTAGAAGTGTATCCACAAGAACAAACATCCATCCTTTTGGTACACAGAGCAAGTCTGTATGTTCAAAACTATGCTAGAACTCCTGACATGAATACCGTAGTATAATACTGTAGTACAAATGCTGCAACGTGAACAGCTGTTTTCTGTGGGCAGTCATCCATCTGTCCTCAGAGAGGGTCAAACCCCATTGTTATGTTACATCCTCTCCTTCCAGGTGCACAATTTGCCAAGCTGCCCTGTGCTGAAGAGCTTTCAGCAGACAGTTGAGCGCCGATCTATTGACGTGCTGCTTTTCTTTCTGGAAGATGGTTCAAGGTGATTGCTTGTATCCATGCCTCCAGCCTTAGGGGTTGGCTTAGACTTACCCAGGGTGGATATGCTACACGCACTTACTGAGGCAGACAGAAGTCCTTTCTGGTCTGCTGCATTTGCCCACCAGAGGCCACTGCCCCCACATGAGCCTCAGCCATCTCAGCGTCAAGTCCAGTGCTTTTGAGTCAGGAGGAGGCCAAGATGTGGGCTTGCGTCCTGTTTTGCCGACAGTGACAGTCGTGGAGAGGAACAGTAGTAGTCCTGGAGGAACAGTAGTAAGCCACTGAGGCAGCCAGCAAAGGCCTCAGTTTCCACGGTGGCTTTAGTGAACCTGCATCAAAGGCCAAAGCAGAGGAGACCAGCAGACAGTCCAGCCTGAGCGCTGAGGCTGCACAGGCGAGGCTGCCCTCGCAGATGCACAACTACAATCTGGATTCCAGCCTGGGAAGTCAATCCCAGGGATGGCATCCGCACAGCTGGGCTGAGAAGTGTTGATGCTAGTGGAAAAGGTGATGCCAGGCCCTGCACGCATGTAACTACTTGCAAAAGAATCTGCTGCTCCATGCAGTTAATTACCTCCTCCCACAGTTTTTTGTGAAGGTGGCTGAGTTGCTATCCTAGCAGCCACATTGATCAGCCACATTTTCCTTTCAGATGCATTCACAGCTGCCACATTGATCAGCTCTGCTCAGGTAGTGGTATAGGACCGCCTTTTCTTGAACTTGTATTGGAGATCTCGGGTACTGACAGACTGATTTCCCCCACTCCCACAACACCGGGGAGAGCCACAGTCACCCTCATCCTACATTTCCACTGATGTGTTCCTTAGGTAGAGGGATTTTCTTCACACCAGGAGTTGTCCAAGGATCTCCTCTTTGTTATAAAAACTAATTTTTAAGTATAGCCACCACCTTCTTAAATCCCACTTCTTCCCCTTCTGTCAAAGACCCCAACCACTTCAGTTGCTGTTTTGCAGTCAACTACAGTTATGTTCCCTAGCTGAAAACCATGCATTCAAAAATCACAACGAGGGAAACAAAATAGCATAGAGAACATCAAGGGGTTTCTAGGTTTCCCTTTATGTGGGCTACATCTCATGAGACTCCTTGTTAACACCCAGTCTGCAATCACATTAGAAGCTCTGTGGTGACTAGGCAACTGCCAAAATAAAAAGTAACTGTAGGAATTGCATTTAATACTTCTTAGCTACACTCAATATGTGTTACCAATTTGTAAGAGAAAAGCGGGTCCCCAGGTGATCTTCTGAAATTATTTAATTTGAAAGTTTAAAAATGAGATTTATTTCTGCTGCTTTTATAGAGAAGTTCTTCAGATGAGTGTTGGTCTCCTTTTCCGTACCTTGCAGAAGAACATTACAGAAGCAGTAAATCCCTCATCTCCAGCTGAAAAGGCCAGGTACAGGACAGATCTTTTCCTTTAATTGTTATAAATTCTGACTTGCTGTCAGTGTGAAAAGCTGGTTCAGAAATAAGTTGAATGTGTGGGTAGAGGACAAGTGCTCATCTGCTAGAAAAAGCATGAGTGCAACTGACTATCCATAGAGGAACACAGCTAACATTTTAGGTTTGGGTTTGTTTTTTTCCCTTCCTTTATCAGAAAGCTCATTCTCTATGCTTGTCATGACACTACCCTTATTCCTCTCCTGGTGGCACTGGGCACCTTTGATGGCAAGTGGCCACGTTATGCTTCAGATGTGACCCTGGAACTGTACCAGGACCGGCAGTCCAAAGAGTGGCTTGTTCGCGTGTCTTACTGTGGAGAGGTAAGATCCCAGGGGATCTTGGGCTTTATGGTTTTACTGTGCGCGCGTGTAAAGCTGTGAAACAAGACTTGTTCTGAGCATGCCATCAAGCCAGATGACAGTGTAAGACACCTACAGCACATCCATGGTAGCCAAGATACCTTTTCTGTTGAACTGGCTATTGATTTAGTGTGAGCTCAGGCAAAGACTTTGAACTTCTGCCTCTGTTGTCGTCTCGACTACCACATTTCCCTGCCACAGAACGCATTGGTATCAGCAAAAAAAGGGCTTTGGGAATGCACAAGATCTGTGATTGTGTCTCTTTGCCTTTGCAGGAACAAGTGGTGAAAGGATGCAGAGCAGGTCTCTGCCCACTCGAAGAATTTCTAGACGTTCTTTCACAGTACTCAGTCAGTCCAGAGGAATACAATAACCTGTGCTCCCAAATGGAGGGGGATTAGCAAACTGCCTGCTAATTAAGTTGTCTTAAATTAAAATTAGTTTATTGTCACCATCTTTGACTATTTTTCTTCATATTCCTGCCAGCCTTCCCTATTCCAAAGATATTTTAGATGAGGGGTCTTTTTCCTACCAGACACAGGGTGGCACAGTGTCACTTTTCACCGTTAGCAGCAAGATGAGAGAAGCCACGTAACAATGCCTCGAGTTCACTTCTGAGGTAGCCACACGAAATCAGGGAGAGGCTGAAAGCAGCAAGGGAAAGAACACTTCAGGAACACGAGAGAAAACATACCTGTTCCTCAGATGCTGGGACTGTGGGATGAAGTCCAGCTTGCTCTGTGCTGTCAAACTTCAGCAAGAAGACAACGACACAACTGCTTTTATGTATGGCAAACTGCAGGTGCCACTCTGCCTTTCCCTTTTGTCATGTTGGAGGGTTGCTCTGCAAACAGATGAACCTCCCAAATTGCATAGCATTTAGCTACCCCATCTTCTTGAGGGCATTTTTGCGCACACAAAACCTCTCCAAAGGGACAGAAACCTCTTCCCTGCACTCCTGTAATTACGGAAATTGTGCTGCAAACACGCAAAACAACCACAGCGGGCCAAGTACAAGAACATGCACTCTTGGTGAACTCTGCTTAATGTACTTTAGACAAGGAAGTCCAGGGAGCTGCTACTGACTTCAACTTTGAGCAGCGTTGCATTTATTTTGCTCTTGCTGAAACAGGCACACACCAGCATAGCCAACACAAGTGCTTCTAGCTGAGATGATGACACTTTTTCCTGTAAGACAATACTAAGGATCACTATGTTGCTAAAATGTTCATTTTTTAATCAGTAAATAAAACTTGGAACCTGACCTACTTCTTTGGGATTGTAAAGGCTAAAATAGGGGGACCACTTATTAAAAAGGCCCTGCAGTTTTGGTTGTTAGCCCTTCTCACTTAGCAAAATCAGACTGCCGTGATGGTAATGCAATTCATTGACAGATACATGACTGGAGGCACTACAATACCTTCTCTGAGAAGCGTGGGTTGGATTTACCTCTACTCTTTCATTAGCCTGCCCCCACCACAATTACATGTTGACACCACGCACAGTGAACAGAGTAATTTGAATACTAAATACATCGCTGGAGGTCTCACTGAACTGCTATTAGAAGCTGTCAAAAAAAGCAAACAAAACATTTATTACTTTCCAGCAAGTTTTTATACAGCCTAAAACCGTAATGCCATTATATAAAATCAGTGGTCTACCCCTGCTTAAGAACAGCGCGTTCTGCTCTAATCGAGCTCTCACGCACAGTTTGGAAAACAGTGATGGAAACCTTGGGCGTAAGGCTGCAAGCTTTTTGTGAGACATGGTCTGTTTGGGAAAGGAGTATCAGGGAATGGCATCAGAGGCTTTGGCTATACTAGCAAAGCAGGAATTCACATACCTTCTTCTCAACAAGAGCTAGAAGGATCTCCCAGCAAAACTGACCAGCAACCAGGTTAAAAATGGCAACACGGTCAAGGCCCTCAGAACTCAGCAGTGCGAACTATCCTAGTGCGTGTAAAATTGCTAAAGGGCACCACATTCACACCATTAAAATAATCAAATCACTCTAGGCAGGGTAATACACATTTCAGTAGCAGCAGCAGACCTCAGAAAAACGGGTCAGCTTCCTGGCAGTGGCTGGGAAGAAGCCTCCGCTGAGACCAGGGTATTTCACCACTGTCTCTTACATCATTTCTGCAGTGCCCGCTGTGCCCTGGTCTGGCATTACACTTCCCCTCTGTGTGGATGTGCTTGGGCCACGCATTGGTCTCATCCCACTGAGCAGCTCCGGTAGTTGTGTTCCACAGTGCTAAGAAGGCGTTATTTCTGACCACAGCTAGCATAAATAATGATTTCATAAGAGGACTGGTGGGACAATGGGAGAGTTTTCAGACCGAAGGACACAGGTAGTAACTGGGAAGCGCTGAACTGCAAATTGAGCATAGAAGACCTGAGGCATTTCTGAAAACATGGAATAAAAATTTCCAGAAATCAAGACTTTCCCAAGGAACCAGTGTATTTACATGAACAGACTGACCCTTTGCAAGAACTGGGAAAGCCACAAATCCCAGGGGAAAGAAAAAGAAATCAAAAACTTTCTTACCCTTAGCTGCCTATGAGAACTGCTGATGCGAGCAGCCAACATATTCAACCTCAGGTTCCCTCAAACTTGAGCTGGAGCTGCTAACCCAAGTTAGTCTGCCTCCCTTGCTATATTTTAGTCCAATAGAGTTAATGCAGGTTGGTCAACTTAAACCTAAGAGACTTGTCATTCTGCATTGCAAAGCTATTCTCAGATAGCATGGTTCACTTAAGGCAATGTTACTATAGTAGGTAATTGGCAAGAATAGATGTCAAATTCAGGGGTTTGTTTTCTCCTCCTGTAAAACATCCTCTATTAAAGTTTCTAGTATCCCAGACGAAACAGCATCATTTTTCTTCCCTGCCTCATGCTCTGACTCAAACAAAAACAATTGTAAGCTTAAAAACCTGAGTGTGTAATGAGTCACAAGGACCTACATCTCTCGGCACAGGAAGTTGACTGGTTGAAAGTCAAAGAAAATCAAGAGGATAGTGAGCTTTGTGTATATGTCAAGAAATCCAACATAGTAAAGCTAGCAGTTTGAGTCTGGATCTTTTTAAGGCCTGAAGAACACTCCTGATAATATCCTTTAACCTTAAGCAGAAGCACCACGATAAAGCTAGGTGTTACACATCCACCACAAACTACATCAACAGAAATAACTGTGGACTGGCTAAAAATGGAAGACTTTTTAAATCAGAGGTCACCTCACCAGAAAGATGACACACAGCACAGGTACAAGACAACTTACCTCTTTCAGGTTAAGAATTACTACCAATCAATACAGTGAAGTGCATTCTACTAAGTACAAGCCTACATCAAACATGGATCATTTCTCCTTGAGAAATATCAAAATAGGGAACAGGTTTCAGCCAACAGCCTGCCAACGCTGTACAAGGAAAACATTCACCACTGTGAGTGCAGAAGACCACCACCAGTGAAATGAAGCTTTTTCTGCCACCAGAGTGAAAACCAGCACAGTAGATGGTCAGCATACCAAGCACCACAAACTTAAGTCTTGTGTATACCGTATTTGTAATAGCCCCAGCACTTCAGTACAACAAATGCTGAGTTCCAATGGTCTAAGGGGCATGTTTAGGATTCTCATTTACCCTCAGAAAGAGTCAGGCACCCGCATCTACTACACGTCAGGACACGTGTGCTGTACCAGAAGCACCACCAGTGTGCAAATCCCAACCAAGACTGGTGCAATTAGGTCTTCACATATTGGTCTGTTTTCTGAAACATTACCCATTAGATACCACTAGGAGGTCAGGACTAAATTCGTAAGGCTGGCTACTTGCTTGTCGAGTTCTTTGGTAGATTAGGTAGCCCATGATACAGGTACAAAGCTGGAGTTCATTTGGGTGGCATTTAAAACTGCCAGCGTACTTCACAGATGACCTGTTTGCTACAGTCTACTACTTTAAAACAAACAGATTTCAAGTATTTTAAACTTTTGATTTAGCAGGCGCATTACTTTGCATCTCAGAAGTTCACCATCTGCTGGGTTTACCTTTTAAATCTCTCCGCACTCCGGCTGCGCAGCCATCTGGGATGAGATAATTTGAACAGCAGACTGTTTCCTCCCATGTTACTAGAGAGGAAGAGCAGCCAAGCATGTATGAATAAAGCCTATTTCATTCTTTCAAACAAAGGTGGAGGAGGATGATTTGGAAAGTTGTTTTTTTTAAAAAAAAAAAGAGAAGAAGAAAGGAGAAGGGGGGAGGGGAAGAAAACTAAAAATGGCAACCCCACTTTCAGTCTTCAACTGCACCATGACTACCAGAGCCGAGTCACAGTTACTATTGATTATAAATAAGCAGGAGAGAACAGAGCCTGACTTACAGATCCCAAGGTGAATTTGCAAGGCTGGCAGCTAGAAAGCTTTTCCATTTGCAAAGCAAAAAGAGGAGAAGTAGAATAAGAGCAAAACAAAGTTCAGTCTACATCTGCTGAGTCATTTTTCCAACCAGAGCCAGCTATGGCACTAGCATCTCTTGTCTATCACCGGGTGCAAACATCTGAAATCGAGTGCACCCATGTGAACTCAGGAGAATCCACGTCTTCTGCATTTTCTGTAGGAAACAATCTCATTAAGATACCAAATACCAGCATCTTAAGTTAGACAGACACAGAAGGAACTTGAATCATCCACTATCTTTAAAATACATTCTTTCAAAGTGGCTCTAAAACAGTGAATCCCCTATACTGTTTTGGTTTTTTTTTTATTTAGGATAAAATGTAGTCACCTCAAATCCTTTGCTATTCAAAATACCTCAACAGGCATAGGAGGCACTGAGAAAGACTTTAAAAAAAGCCAAGCCCTCCAGGTTATTTCTATGTCGATCAAGACGACTGCTTTGTTCAACACGGTAAAACACAGTCAGGAGTCGTGGCAGAAGTAGCAACACTTAAAAAGCTTGTACTGTGACAATTCCTGTGCAAGGTCCTAAAAAGGGAGCTGTGCAACCATTTAAAGAAGAGGTAAATCCACTCTACAGAAATAACACTTACTGTGTCATTGTCAGCTCTTTCTAAAATCCTGACAAGCCTGTGCTTCAGGCACGCTGCTTGTCTTGTTAGAGGGAAGCACCACAACATACATCCTACACTTTGTCAAAAGAGTAATTCTCACCCAAAATCATTGTAAATTTGCATGACAGCACAAAGGTGAATTAGGAAGCAGGCAACAGACGGCTCTGAGGCTTGCACGGCTTCACTCATTTTGTAACACTGCCAACTAAACTTTGGTAAGCTGGCCACGGGCAGCAATTCCTCCACCTGGAAAGGGTCAGTTAACTCTGACAAAATTCTCACACACAAACACAGTCAAGATACTCATTCTCCACGTGAAGCTTCACATTAATAGGAAACTACTCATTAGAATAATTTCAAGTAACAGTAAGTGGAAGGAAAAACAG